AATAATATCATTATATCGATTATATTAGATCGTGACAAGTTGGATTAGAAGTTTTATGTCTATATATATATTGTTACAATGCTCAGCTGAAATCAGTGCGCTCTATATAATCACTTCCTCTGTGATGTGCAGCACATCTGCAGGTGGCAGTCTTAGGTATATGTGGAACAAATTACATCCGCGTGTCATATATATTACAATAACCAACGTTTCGGTGGACCTAACGTTACAACCGCAAACGAAATATTATCGTCATCATTATTATTATTATTATTTATTATGCGTTTAACCGACCTTGACTTGTTCACATCACGCACGTATCTTATACTATACTTTATATATATATATATTTGGATAAACATATTGGCCGTAGGTATATATTATATGCGCATGGTGTGTGTAGCGGGGGTGGGAGTCTGCGAGTAAAACGGCAGAACAATTATTTTAAATTTAGCCGCTGGTGATGGCAGTGATTTGTCAACGTCACGAGGCCGCGAAGAAGTGTTCGGAAGAGAACACGAATAGAGTGTCGTGTGTGTATGTGTATATGTGTGTGTGTGTGTGTGAGAGAGAGAGAGAGAAAGAGAGAGAGCATAAAATAGTGTGACGACCATGGTGGTGGTTGGCGGCACCCGTATGGATGAGCAACAATTTATATTAAAAAACTTTTTTCTCCTCTAGAAAACCTATATTATTTGTATATATAAATACATAATATTATGTACGACCGCGCGTGCTCAATGGAAAAACGTCGTTTTTTATTTTCGTTTTAAGGTCTCCCATCCTACTCTTTATACTTCATCCAGCTTAATGGCCGAACGAATAATCTTCCATTTAAAATAGCTGCGGGCGCAAGCGGCATGAGTAATTCCGATTCGCGAAACTATTGTACACTATACATAAGCGCGTTACTCCAAAAAAGAGACATTTGTGCAATTATAAAACGTTTAAATCCCTATAGCGTAGCGTGTGAATTTTACGAATTAGTATATATATATTTATAGGTATGTATATACATAACATCCTTCTTCTCCTATCCCTTTACCGTGCTCCGCGACTGCTTTTAACATCGAGTCCTGCAGCGCTACGCAAATATTTTTTTTCAGCCAAAAACTTAGTCAACGGACACATGACCTGAAACGACAAAATACTATGCATGTTCCTATGTTAAAAAACTCAAATGCCACTTGTAATCTCTAGGTCGATTTGCCTGTACATATTTACACACCGCGCACGCACGCATTCCCTCTGTTTGCATTCAGTCACAGGTAGTATATGAAACTGGCCTCCACGTTTTCCCATGTAATTTGATAATACCTAGTATGATATTATTATATCTGAAACATATGGTCCACCCTGTTTAATATAATAATAGTATGTACATATAACTATTGTGTGTGACACGATGACGGATGAATGATGAGTAGGACGCGCCTATAAGTCAACGTGCCATCGAAGTTTTCGAACGTCCTTCTGCTCCCCCAAGCCGCGGTCGCACGTATCATTTATCCAACAGATTTTGATTGGGCCGGTTGTCGTTTTCATAGAACCGTACTTTACATCGAGGTCGGTGCATATTTGAAAGTGATGTACGCGGTCTGTTGTCAATATACACGATATACTAATAATGATAATATTTACATCGAGCCGGCACTTTTGCAATTTATATTATTATATCGAATTCCTATATTTTGCAAGTCGTCCACACGATTCACTCGATGACGATTTTTTTCCGACTCATTTCAATTTTCAACATGTGTAACATATCAAAGGCAGTTACTAGGAAATAAAATATATCATGTATAATGCATCCGGTGATATATCCGGGAAAACATGTGATTGGCTTGACATACTATTATAAAATTTGGGTGCAAAGTAATATATATATATCATTTCGATAGATTCGCGTGTTTAACGACCCATTAACCACCAACAACACTACAACATTGAGAACCTATTTTATGTGCGCTATAAATATTCACAACGGTTTTACAATGTTTAGTTAATAGTTGGCGTCAAAAATATGATGTTAACCTTTTCAGCGCGTTTGGCCAATAACCACTGTTGTAAATGCGTATTGAATTTCGATGATACGTTTCGTGCAGACCGTAGTCATCACCTAACCTAACCGTAGCGGTGATATTTGCCCCTATGACACGACTTCCACCGCGAGTGATACACAATCAGTGAGGTAATCTCTCGTACAAATCTGATGTTTAGGATGTGAAAAATTTTGTATTTAGTATCCTGATTTCGAAAATTAATGCGATTACTTAATTACATTTTGTCCGCTTGTAGACGGTATATTTTATTATTTCGTCGAACGTTCGTATATCAGCGTTATTCAGCGTTGCTTTTATTTTAATTTCCCTTCCCCCCCCCCTCGATTCAGTCAAAAACGCGTAATGTACTATTTGCGTAATGTTCAGCCGTTGGTGTTTGAAAGTTTATCGTGGCATTCCAAAAGTAATTTTCGAACGAAGTAATTACGATTGCTGTTGTTCATGGCAATATTTCAAACAATTATTAATAAGTTTAATGGGGCTACTACAAGTCCGCACACTTATGTATTCTGTTTGTCAAAAAACTATAACACCCGCAGTGCTCATTTGATGTGTCTATTAGTCTATATAATTAAATATACAATACATAATACAATTGTTGTGATTTCAATAATTTTATGATCGTAGATTAAAAGTTACACGGCACATGTCGTCACCTCTTGCATATCTGAGATAATGTTCAATATAAAATACATGGAGCACAGAGATAGCAAATAATACATCTATTGATATTTTCTAAACCTTGACGTATTTTAGGACATGGATGGCTTATATGCCGCAACGGGGTTTGATTATATAATTATTTTACAAATAGTGATTTATGTACATAGTTTTCAATCTGCAGTCGTTTATAATTATTATTTTATCTCGCATATAATGCATATACTTTAACACTTTGAATCGTATTACGTGTGCTTTGGGATAGAACAAATGCCATTCAACCGATTAGAAAGTACGATGAACTTGGAGAACAAAGTACTCCAATTGTTTTTTCGTTAAGGTTAAAAAAAAAACACTAACAACGATGAGACACATAATGCTTAGAATTTTATTTTTTATTTTTTGTCATCCAACACAATAATTACATATTAATTACACTTTTTACATGTACAGTTGACGATTATCATAACAATGCGTTCGTATTTCAGTGTTCTATATATTTTATACATTGTACCTATAATACTCGTTTTATTGTGCATTTTTTATAATTTTCTTACACCCTCACCGGCCTCACCGGCCTCTACTGCAATATATTAAACCTACTCTTTATTTTATGTAGACAATATATGCACCGCCTGTACCTATAGTTTTCGTTATGTGACTAATATTTTTGGAAGTATGTTAACTAATTTGTATTTAAAATAAAAAGGTTATTTTTTGAAAACAATTTTTAATTTTTATAAATTTAAACAATAATTGTTTAGACAAATAATTATTTGATTGACAATATTTATTATTTACTAACGCACAAATGCCTTAAGTTTATATTTTATTCATTTAAAAGTTTTCACATTTCTTTAATATTAAGTCTTTTTCTCGCTTCGTATAAATACGATTGCTGCATGACTATACATTTGTTCTGTTATAACTGTTTTAAAATTGTATGATATAGATTTTAATATTTTTACACTAGGTATATTCAGAATAATTGTTTAACTATCTTTTTTATAACTGCATTTTATCAAAATACAATTACTACCTATATATCAGATTTTGAATAAAAATGATGAAGTTCCAGTTTACCCTCAAAAAAAATTATTCATTTATTTAGGTAATCGTGGTTAAAATAATTATTTAAAAAATGTTTTACTTAAAGATCTTTAGCGAAGTAAGAAATAAATTGGTTTTAATGTTTTGTTTTTGACAGTTTTCATGAAAATAAAAATCATATTAATTTTACATAAATAATTTTAAAATATTGAAAAATAACTAAAATCATTATTTTATTTATAACTGTATAGGTAAATAGGAAGGTTTAACATAAAATCAATGTCACATATTAATAGGTAATGTTTACTTTTCCCTTGGTTATTACATGGCTCATTAATTTCGTTATCTCAGATGCTACACACTTCTGTGCTTATTCACTCTTACATGGATCATAAGCTAACACCGCCATCAATATTGTCTATTTGGTTTATTATTGTTTACTCATTCGGTGTTCTACAAGAAATTGTCAATTACGGTTAATTTCATTTCATGATTAAACGATTTCAATAAAATATGTACGAGTTAAAAAACAGATGCATATATGGCTTACATACTTCGTTAAAAATATCATTATATTAACTAAACGTTCATAATTATCATTTGTGTAGTAAAATAAGAAAATTGAATATGTGGTTCTAAAGTATTTACGGTGGATTATATTTTTAGAAGGTTTTCATACGTGTTGCTTTGAATTATGATAGTTATAGTTTGTAAGCACAAGTTAAATTACATTCATTTAGTTATGATGGATGTGGCGAGAATGTTTTTTTTTTTTTAGCAATCTAAGAGAAAATCTAATTAATTGATGTGTTAATTCCCAATCGCTGTATTACTCTTAGGTACCCTGATAAATAATTACAATCCATTTACTACAAGACTAAACTTACCGTGAAACCCATCAGTAAAAATATGTTACGCTTTGTCAAGCGTACAATATATGACCAGTTTTTGACAGGTTAGGGATTTGAAAATGTTCTCTACTGTAGAATTTGACACCCCAAAAAACCATTAGAGGTTAGAAGAAAGTTATTTCATTTTTTTGCTTAATAGTTTTGAAAAATTGTGACAGTTTGAGATTAGCCCAAAGGTAGATTTTTCGGTTGAAACCTACCACGTGACTATTTCCTTTTTTTTCTCCGGGGCCCAAATGTAATTGAGTTTCATATTATTTAATAATAAAAATACAACACGTTTATTAAATTTAGAAATTTTTCTTTGTTGTTTCAGCTTCTGACCTGGAATCGATCCGTGCCTTGTTTAATGAAAAAGAAAAAGAACTAACAATGGCTGTGGCTAAAGTGGATGAACTAACTAGGCAACTAGAAGATGTCCATAAAGGACGAGGTCATGCACAGCCTACATCTCCAGCCTCTATAGAACTTGATAAACTACGAGCTGAGTTATTAGTGAGTGTTATTATTATTCATACATTTTAGTTAGGTATGGTCTTTTAGAATTGATTTATGATATTTGCAAATAGTTACAATTTTTATTTATTTTTAAATTTAACATGCTATATTATACTAATATATATATATATATATATATATATTTAATACTAATTTTTATTTTTATATTTTTCAGTACCGAAATAAATTAGGTGAACAGCAAACTGCTAGGTTAGTACAACAACGTGAGGTTCTGTCTAAAAGACAAGAGGAAATGGCATCCATTGACCGTCGAATATCAGAATTACAAGCTAGGTTACACAGGAAGAGGCTGCTCAACCAACAGTTGGCTAATCAAATCCAGGCTAACAAACCAGGCCAAAATAACAGGCGAGTAACCATTTTGAACAAAATAATACTAAAAAGAGATTCTACGAGATCTCGCTAGATGAGCCATTTTATTACATTTTAGTTTCTGTAATATTGTATTCTATTAATATAAGTTTATAAATGAATATTCCTTATGTTTACAGTGAAGTCACTATGCTATTAGATAGATAGTGGTTTTATTTAGTAGGCTAAACCTTTGTCCACGTGAATCTCCTTAAATAATTTATTGAAATATAATTTTTAACCTTATTTACCCTATAAACGATTAGGATTAACTTTTGATTTTCGAACACTTTTCGAATGAATAAAAATTATCAAATTATCATTATACTAACTTTTATATTTTCTTTTGATTTAAGATCTCTGGGTGGGCCGGGTAAACAAATGATGCCGTTGTGCGATGGGAAAATGAACGGTGGTGGTGGAAATGTCGCGGCCATCGAGCCGTACAATCACATACCAGATGCAATGAGCAAAAATTCAATATTACGCAAGTCCGAAGATAACATCCTTAGCCACGCGACGGTTGACGGCGGTGACCAACAGTCATATGGTGTACGGTCCGGTAGGCCTGAGCTAAAGTCTCTATCTCAGCAGCCTTTGATCCAGAAACCTATGGTGGATCCATACCAGCAACAGTATCAGTCATCAAATAACAACTACAAAATTGAACAACAGAGTAACGGTAATCCAGGTGACCTAGCGTATTTTGGCGGTAGCAAGTTTGACCCTAAATACCAGACACTACCCTATAATACAAAATTCTCACCATTAACCAACTACAGTGGAAATCAATCAGCCCTCCTTCACCAACAACACCAGCAACAACACCATCTTCATTATCATAATCATCAGCAGCAGCAGCAGCAGCAACAACAACAACAACAACAACAACAACAACAACAACAACAACAACAACAACAACAACAACAGTATCAGCATCATCAGCAACAACAGCAGCAGCAACAACAGAACCAGCATCAACAGTGGTTCAATCAGCATGAAGACATGTCCGAGGATATTAATAGAGACCTAGTCAATAACAATACCAGTTTTTATGGAGCCGATCAAAAACTTAACGGAACGGCCCAAACTAAAAAGTCAGTTTTGTCCGGCCAAGTTCTGACAAATGTGGGACAAAATTTACAAATGCAAAGTTCCAGCAGACCTATCAACGCTCAAGTATATCATACGAAACCACTTTCATCATCTAATCATACTTCTCAAAGGTACATTGGCATATTTAACGTTATTTATATTTTGCGCTTTATCATATTATGTTGTCTATAATAACATACTTATTCAACATTATGTTTTAGGCCTTTAAACTATTCGATACACCATCCTCCAGTTCTAGTGACTAGAAGTCAACCAGTCGGTGGAACTGGGATAATAAATCATCAGGTAATCGAATCATAATATATTATGATATAATTTTAAATATTACATATTTTTTCTCCAAGATAAAACGCATTACAGTATGTACACTGCAGGTATTTATTTCAAATTTATTTATGCTAATGATTTGACTTGAAACTGTATTTTCAAGTCGATTTAATAGCACCTATTTTATTTTGCCCGGATTTTGGCGCAAATGAAAGACGGAGTATCAAAATGAATCATTTAGAGTATTAATCAAGACTATTGTGCGTTTAATGTCAGAATAATCGTTATATGAAGGGATTACGACGTTTTACAACGATTAATAATATCGTCCTTATCACAGTGGTTGTAATAGTCCGTCAATTCGAGTAAAGTCTTTCGAGAGTCTACACTCAAACAGGTCTTTTTCTTTCATATAATATATAGTACGTGGGTTTACTATATACGCGCACGAACATCGAGGTGAACTTAATCTAATATCTTGTAACTTAATTTAGGGGAATAATTTGTAATAACTCTGAGACGTGGCGAGCCTCTGCCCTTAATATAATTTTCCATCATACGCTTTATTATATTATTCTGTTTATTAGATTAATAACATACAGAAATCAATTTTTCCACAGAAACCGACAAGCAGCGTGTCGCCTATATATCAGACATCTTCGACCAAAGTACAGCCGGTACAGCCTCAAGTGTTAAATTCTGTTGCAACTAATCAAGTAGTACCTAAAGAATCAAAACAACCAATTAAGTTAGCGACGGTGGTTGCGGCGGAATCTGATCAACAGGTCGGCGTGGACCGTGCCGGTAGCCCTTCGACCATTGGAAAACCGGCGTTACCCCCCAAACCACCTCCGCCAATGGTCAAAACGTGTACCCCTCCGCCCCCGCCGAGGCAAAATGCTTATCACCACCATATACCTCAGTATCACCAGCCGGACCCATCTTTAGAAGACGGGGGCTTAGGAGGAGCTGGCGGTGGTCGTGCGTATTACACCGACTGCAGACCAACACCACTTCAGAAAGACCTAACGCCTCCTCCTCCGCGGATACCCAACGGGGGCATTGCTGGTGCAGCACCGGTCAAGTCTGGCTTTGGTAACTTGGTGGACTCGTCCGAGTCTGACAATTCATCGAGTTCGGCGTCTATGCGATCCATGTTCGGTAGCAGTGCCAAGTGAGTGTTATTATGTGTACATCATAAGCAGGGTTCGGATTTTATAGCACCAAAAATCCTAAAATATGCGCTATAATATGACCAAAAAAACCTTAAAATAYGCTCTATAAATATGCCCTAAAAACATCAAAAATAGCAACAAATAAAAATATATACAAATCAAAATTKTATTCAATTTATCATATAACTTTATTAAATCATTTATTTATAAAAAAACTAAAATCATCGTTTACAGTTTAAAAAAATTTGGGTGTACTGATTAAATTGATACCTTGAATTATGAGTTTATGACATCGTTTGTACGCAACTATTCAAAATTGTCTGAGTAAATAAGAATAAAATTCAAGTAATTATTATTTATTATTTTATTAATTAAATAATATTTTATTTATTTTACCTGAGTTACACTGTATGATTAAGTGTTTTGCCAAATTTTCGAATTTGAAGTTCCGGCGGTTATCAGTCAACAATGACTTGWAGGTCGAAAARGAACGTTCAACATCAACCGATGTAATAGGTGAATACTTAAAAAATACTATATCGTCACTAGTCAATTCTTCAAGATCTCCGTCTAATTCGCTATTTTCCTCTTCACTCGACAATATTTTAGAAATGCGTTTTAATGATGTCAAGCCATAATTATTTTCAAATACAGTTTTAAATTTATTTTTTACAATTGTACCTGCTTCAYCCCGTAATGATTTGAACGATTCTTCGATATCCTCAATTATTTTTAACGCTGTTATWAAAGAAAGGCCTTTTGTTTGTAGTTTATTTATTCCTTCTACGAGAATTGTGAAGTTTGATTTTATATACGCTAGGTTGCTCTCAATATATAAAATCCGAACCCTGATCATAAGATATAATATTATAGGTGGTGTGAAAAACGATAAGCTTGATAAGATGTTATAATGACATAATTAATACACAATATTATATCATAGTATCGCACCGTATAAACATCTAATTAATGTCAATGAAGATTCCCAATAAGATTGTCTATAACATTTCTAAATAATTTAAACTTGTACTATCTAAATTTTTGATTGTATTTTGGTCCATGACCGTTCATTACATTAAGCTCAGGTGATCCAGCTTTTAAAATATAATATGATATTAAGTATATGTGTAATGTGTATGTATTCTTCTTTTTCTTCTCCGGTTTAACTGCCCAATTATGTAGATCAGAATTTCAATCATGAGCTATCTTCATCCACTTTGAAGATATCGTATGATTTTTTTCTGGTCTATAACTATGACTAAATTTCTGTCAATTATACTAAGTCATCGAGTTCAGTTGATTGTCTCCTTATGTGGGTGATCAACTAGATCTATATCATCAAAACAAATGATAGGACCTATTAGTACTGCAGATTTTATATTTTTTCATTACCTTACATAACAGAAAAATTCTGTATGATATAGGTGTGAGTTTTGAGTTGTATATTATCTCTGATGATATAATCAGATTTTTTTGATGTTTTTTTCTTCACTTTTTTAGAAATGGCGAACATTTGTTGGACAGCGTGAGATCTGTAAGCATATCAACGACCAAAGGGACGCCTCCCCCTCCACCACCACCACCTCCTCCACCACAGTCACAACAGTTATCTGCTAATACAGCCACCGTGTCTCCAACCGAAACTGTGGTGGTTAAAGATCAGCAACAGCAGCAGCCACCTCCCCACGAAGCAAAACTCCCCTCTAGACTGCCATCACTGTTACTCAACCGAACCACTTCTTATCCAGTGACGGATATCGTTGGGAGCGATAGTAAAGTTAATAATAACAACCACCAAAATCTCCTTCATCATCATCATAATAACATTAACAATAACCACCAACAAATGCAACACCGGTTGTCTGTCGCACCGCCGCAGCAGCATCAGCAACAGCAATCATCACAGACTCCATCTGTCACTACTCCCACCGTTTCTACCGTTTCTACCACGTCGACCGTCAGTCAACTAGATCCACAGGCTACGCCGGTCGATGAAACGGACAGAGCGCGGGCAGTTAGCGTTGCTCAGCGCATTGACGAACTGGAAACACGTTTTGGGGGTGGAGGCAACAGTATAGGGGTTGTTGGATGTGGCGGGTCTTCGTCTACTGACGATAACAGCACCAGCAACCACAGCTCTTCATCGCCCGACTCTGGCCAAGACTCAGGCAGAGACGACATATCCGGTAAGAGTTCACTATCTATTAATGAAAAAATAACGATATTTTTTGACGAAAATCATTTGGGTTTTTTAATATCTTCTAACTTTTAGAAACTCACATCGATTTAAAACAGGGCCTTGCGCTAAAATTCATCGAAACTTCTAAATCCCTTTAATAACCGCCAAAAACCTTAAAAATTCCAACACCCGAAACCCGTATAATTTTATATAATACAATAAGTTGTTATGTGGTTTGTCATTTTGTATATATTATTTTATATTTTTTGTGACGCCTAATAATAATCATTGAATGGAATAATTTTGTAATAAATAAGTGTTAGTTAGTAAATATTTCCTTGTGTCAACACCTTTTAACATTTATGCTTTATTTCAATCCATTCATTGACAACTATAATCATTAACATATTATATTTTACTAGTTATTGAATAGTATTTCAAGAAACATTGTATAATCTAAAAGAATTAACGGTAATTAATGGTATCGAAATAATAGGTAAATATGACAATATCATAAACGAGATTTTTGCATTATTAAAATTCTTGTTTGTTCCGATGACCTTTTAATGTATGAGTACCTACTTATTTTCCTAAAATGTATAATTCTTAATATAATTTTAATCTCTCGAGGCATTGTGCGACTTACATTATCTAAAAGAATAAATTCGTCAAAATTGCATTTTTWTTTTGTGTAATAATAAAGAAAATCATATCAGAAATTCTAATTTCAAAATGTTATCGAGTATAAAACAACAGAATTTGAACGTTTAAAGTTTTAAAATTTTACTGATATTGGACGTAACTCGTGGTTTTTGATAAAGCACGTACCTAAACGTATTGAATATACGCACGGCGAGTTTACCGTAAAATAATAAAAAAATAATTCAATCTGTGAACAACAAATGCGAAATATAGGTATTGCTATATTATAGTAATAATAATATTATCTCCGATGAAATTGCTTTTGATCTGTCTATTTATGGGGAACTGAACCATCAGAAGAAAATAATATGCAAATCCACGACTCGATAATCCGTGCATGGTGTATATATTATATATTATTATATTGTACAATATTATATACATGTGTGTTGTGTAGTATTATAATGCTCGCGGGAGGTAGGTATACTATGGATCGTTTAAGCTAATGGGTTTCCATGTCGAACTCACTTCTGTACGCCACAACACCGGTACATAATATAACATTGCGTGTAAATTGGAATTTGATTTAAATGTGTGTTATCTGCAACCCCTACTCTATACCAATTGCAATATACATATAACATCGTCTGCAGATTTCATATTATCTACTAACTAAATGCTTCCATAATCAGTTGAATACCCAGATAGTGGTTTATCATTTTAAACCATTTTACGGTATATATGTACCAGGTAATTTGATTCAAAATGATTATAATTATTTAAAGTTTGTGCCAAGTTGGAATACCAATTTATCTAATGTAGATTCCAAGACACTGTTTGAAGTGGGATTCAGTATTTTAAGGTTCGTTAGTATTGAATTATTTGTACAATAATAACAATCAATGACATAATACCGCAATAATATTGTTATTAAGATATATTATGTGCTGATATACTATATTATAATTTTTGTGAAAATGAATTCAATGAACCGTATCAACTATGGAAAAATGTAAAATAAAGTAGRTAATTTGAATAAATTATGAAATAGCATTAAAATAAATAACGAATAACCGTCCTTGTTTATAATTATTAAAATTTAACATAGGTATCTGTAATGGTCACTGTAATAGTGTTCTACTCGGCTAAACTCGATCTATACAATACTATTATTTTCGATTGATATCGTGTGATTTCAAATAACTATTTATTTTTGGTATTCTATGAGTAATTTTTTTCTTTTTTATTTGGGGGGGGGGTGGTGGCGGTGAGGGGGTTTAACCTATTAAGCTGGGGGCCTTATGAAAACGACTATAGTTGTTTACATATTATATCGGGGAAAGATAATAATTTAACGTTCATCCATCACTCAATTTATACAAAAGCTAAAGAGTTTGTAAAATATATTATTATCATATTATTAACAATAACCTAATTCTCAATACCAATTTTTATTTCCATTAGTTTTGGGTACATATGATTCGTCTATGATATTTAATATGCAGATACAAAATATATATTATTAGGCAGTAGACAATGTCTAACCTATGTATGTGCAAATCGGAGAACGTTTGGATTTATCAACTTACGTGTGATACTATGTAGGTATAGTAGTATATATCAACATATTAAATTATCTCAAAACTGCATTGAAATCACATACGGTTTAACACGGATTCATTTATAAATATAAACGAGAATAACAAAACACGTTGAGTTCGCWTAAATATAACATTTCGCATTTTCGCTTGTTGCTGACGGTTGTGCGCATAATATAATATTATAGTTTTCCAATTCGTCCGAGATTCGTCAGTTCAAAGTTCAAACATTGATCTCGTACCATATTTCGCGATGCCTTTTAGTTGATACTGTATATAAAAGCACTCGACTGAAGATTTTTATGAATTTACGAATTTTTTCGGTTGATTTTATGTGATGGTATGCTAGGTAAGAGCTTACTTCTTAAAATACCCCCATCAACTATATCGAATATAAATTAATACAATTTATATCGTTGAGTCCCGTKTGAATTTAAGCTCATATCATGTCGATAAATTTTATGATATAATATTATATTGAATTTAATTTTTCGCATCATTACACATCCAGTAATATTATTTGTGTCTTTTCAGTGGAGTGCAGAAACAGGTTGGTGGTGCGGAAAAAGGGCAACCTCAAGGAGTCGGGCGGCAGCATCGGTCACAAGCGCCGTGTGTCGTTCGATCCGCTCGCATTGCTGCTAGACGCCTCGTTGGAGGGTGAACTCGAGTTGGTTATGCGAACCGCTGAACAAGTGAGTGTGCAAGCAAATTATTTTTATTATCACTGTATTATATATTATACATTATGTTGGGTTACATCGAAGATCTTGTACGCGCGTTCGTATTTCCGAAGTAGTATACTAATTTTGGTGCCCGATTATGGTTTAGTGGATGGTATAGTTGTGGAGAAGGGTATAGTATAATAGATAATATATTTGTATATATGTATATATATAATAGTAATCAATAATAATGTGCTCTGAAAAACTCCAAAGACGTTATGTTATGTAAATTGTTTATTAACGTATTCATATGTTATATGTGTTTTAGGTGGGAGACCCGAGCGCGGCTAATGACGAAGGAATAACTGCGCTACACAATGCCATATGCGCCGGCCATATAGACATTGTTAAGTTCTTAGTTAAGTTTGGCTGTGATGTAAATGCTCAAGACTCCGATGGATGGTGAGTACAAAGTTAATATYATTATATAAATCTGTTAGACTTGGAAGTACGAATTTGAATTCTTAACGCTTAAGGGTATTACTTTTGAAGGCATAACTACAAGTAGGGATAGGCCGATATCACTTTTAACCGATAACCGATAAACAGATATGTTATGCAGATTTAAGTCCGATAACCGATGTATTCAAAACTTTGAATTTCTATCCAAAAGCATGAACCGATATTATAAAATACCCGATAATAGGTACTTACCGATAAGTACTAAGTAGTAACTACTAACTAATAATACTGTAATAATCAATATTATTATATATTAATATATTATATAATGATTAAATTAAATAATTAATAAATATTTAATACAAATAGAGTTAACACGGTTGTACATAAATAATAAATATTAAATATTAAATAACAAAGTTAAAAATTTAAAATGAACCATTTTCTTTCTTGTTAGTTGATAATAAATTATAACTTATTAATTTATAAGTTATACATTTATAAGTTTTAAGTATAGTCAATAAGTATAATTTTAACTTTTTAATAAAACAAATAAAAATTATAATAAAAAACAAATCACATAATATTTAAAAAATAATAATTTTCCCTTTTTCACTTATTAAACATTCCTTGTTTAATTTTTAATACAATCAAATATTTAATCTATGTATGATAAATTGTTTTTTTTTCATATCGGTTTTAAAAAAAAACCGATATTGCCAATATCGGCCGATAATCGATATCGGTTTGTATATCGGCCCAGCCCTAACTACAAGGTACTTGCCATTCCACCGAAAGATATAAAATTTATTTTTATTTTTATTTTTAATATTAACTTTCTTTTACTTATGTAATCTCGTAACATTTAACTGTTCATTTTTTTTTTCTTATTAATTATTTTATCGCACCGTTGCTTTTTAACAAATGGGTGTCATTATAACTGTATATACGTATAATTTAAAGTAATGAATAATTACCAAATATTAATTACTTTCTAGCGTGTCAAACTATCTAATGCTTACCAGGAGCTACCAATCAAAGTGTCAAMAAACACTGAAATGCCAAACTGACCATTTCCTATAAATTTRGGAGCCTTTAACTAAACTATTGTAAAAAAGCTCGTTTCGTACTCGGTTTCACGCGGGTTTTCTTTCTGTGTGCTTATATAAAAATTCTGGTATCGTATATAAATATCGTCCAGGGACCCTGAAAGCTCTAAAGGAAGCAATTCATACAGAAATTCTTAGACATGTTAAAAGGGGTTATAATATAATGTTTAATAATACACGTATATAAACTAGAATGTTTGTATGAATTGTTTTTTATTTTTAATGAAATATATTTTTTTTAATATAAGACATTTTTGTGTGCTTATTGATAATATCAATATCATATTGTTTACTTATTGAAAATTCTGATGATGCCTCGACGTTAATATTCGCGTTGTTCGAACAATGTATTTTTCATTTACATATTTATGCGTTGTCTCTGTTATTATAATTTATTAACTTAGCTAGTTAATGAAAGATCGAGTTTACGAAAATTTAAATGTTCCYATCTGCAGATATTATTTTATGATAAATCTAAAGTAATATTTTACAATACAACGTGTGCATAATAATCTTTCAAATAAATCGTTTTTAATTAATCTACGTCCATTAGCTCAATGAAAAAATAATTCTTCTTGCTGTTCCGCAAATACAAATTGATATTTCCCCAAGTCATYCGTATAATAATATAATAATATTGTATATTCAGTATTAATAGTAATTAAATGATTAAATTACATGATTATTATATTATTGTACCGAGCGCGCATTTGTTGGATTAAAGTTATATAACACGTGTATAATGTATATATAGGTTTAAGGACTTATATATTAAACCTATATATATATATATATTATAATTAAGTTATTAAGACTCTTCGTACAGTTCTTTTCGTCAAACCGTTAAAAATCGATGTCTCACAAGTCTTTGTAGTGTATATAAGTGTAATCACTATACGCCGTAGGTATTATGTACATACAAAACTTCCTCGTCGTTAGTGTATAGTATACGAAGTGTTACTACCAAGAATTTTATCACWAAATTTAATTGCTTATTTATTTAACTTAAAAAATATTCAAACTCCATACAAAACACTTATATATACTTAATAAATTTTAAAGTTATATGTATTCGTGCTAAAAATCATATTTATATACTATATACAGGGTGTCCCACAGAGATCTG